TAACAATGAATACGTAATTTAATTAAAATCAATCTAATTCCTGAATACCAATACTTTAAACAACTAATACATTAATAAAATTTTACGTTCTATCTAATACTGTCTTTTCGGTTTGAGAACCGTTCCTGCTGCATGCAGGGTTCTCAGCTCAGTTAATTTCCTGTTACATATCGAAGATGCGATAGGAAAGACATTCTTCAGTGTCACGTTACGCAGTTGTAGAATACCGTGCTGAAGCGCCACCATATCAACCTTCGATGCCTCTGCAACCACTCTTTTCCGAGAGAAGAAGGAGACCGATAAGTGTGCCCAGCGCGATTACCAAATTGCCTCTTCTACCAATAAAAGCCTGAGCTACACACGCGTTAACATGACCTGATTTAGCAAGCCCGAGAGTTTTCCAGATCCATTCACCTCCATCATCTTTCACTTCATCAATCTTATAATCTTGTATTTCTCAGAGTTATACATCACACAACCACGGCACCTGTCAAACAAGCAAGTCTTATCAACGTAATGATAAGTAACTGATAAGCGAGCAACAACGTATTGAAAAGTGTATTTACTGAACTGAAGTATTGAAAAGTGTATTTACTGAACTGATATTGAAAAGTGTATTTACCGAACTCCGTATTGAAAAGTGTATTTACGTATTTACCGAACTAGTATTAGTTTTAGAAAGTCAACACAGAAAAGGGAACGTATCATTGTTTAGTTATTGTCTGTCTTTTTATGTTGGATTTGATGATACAGATGAAAAAATAAGAATACCGCTAATATGGCTTTAACCTGTTTATACTATTGCCGAGTAATTTAGTGTGATCAGAGTTCTAGAAATCTATGATGCAGACATTTTAATTCTCGAATATGAACTTTTCAGGCTTGGTAGTCAAGATACCACTAACGAAACCTACTCCTCTGCAAGCTCTGGAAACGCATGGTAAGATACAACTCTGATTGCAATTTACAACCCGGCCCGGCCCCTCGGGATGATATATAATACGCTACAAATTTACTTATCAAACCGACTTTCCGATTCTTCAGGTTTCATGACCCGTACCAGCGGATGTACTTAGAGAACATGAAGCTGAGAGGAGATCTGGAAGCATTGAAGAGGGAGACTGAAAAGTGTAGGGAGGAAGATCGGAAAGAGGTGACCGAGCTTAAGGAGGAGTTGAAGAAATTGAAGAGGTGCATGAGATCCATCATGAAAGGTAAGTTTTTACTCCGAGTGCGATACAAAACAGCAGCAGTGAAGTCGGCATCAAGGAGCCAATCAGATCAGTGTTCATAGTACCGTATTTTACAACATTTTTGCTGACAAAAACTTTTAGCCCTACGATTTTGCCACTTTATATTTGTATATATACAAAGTTAAATGATCTAATGTTGAATTCAAGACGTGTTAAACTAGATATTAGTTAACCAACTTTAAGTGGTTAGAACACAGACTATGTTGGTAGCAAACAGTAGACTATGCGCATGTGAAAAAATGTTATAGAAGGGAAACGCAGGATCATAAACTGGGAGCTAAACCCTAAAGATGTTAAATCAGTCAGTATAGAATTATTACATACAAATACATATCAAAAAAGTCATGATATAATGTCAACCTTTTGGTCCTTTGGATACATGCCTTTGAGACGAAACGTAAAATAATCTTTAAATTGCCTTAAACTAAAGTTCTGGTAATATTCTATACTCTTTTCACAGAAACATATATTAACCATATCTCGTGAAATTTCTAAATTAACGGATGCGTTGTACCCACGCACACGGTTTGTAAAAAGTGCATACCAACGCAGATAGCAGCTTCCTTAGGGTCAGCGACGTGATGAGTACCGAGAAGAATTCGTGATCAGACTTAATGTAAATGTTTTCCGACTGTTACATAATACACTCTAGTTTACACCATATCTCCTTCGAGTGCATAATTACCAGTATAAATCCTGAAGACTGGCCAGATATTCCCAGAAGGAAATACAGCGCGGCGTAGAGACCTCAGGATGGTGAGGTAGAAATACAGACGCCCCACCCTCAACCCTGATAAAATGTAATGAGCAATCTGGGATTTGGAAAACCAGGGCACCTAAAAATAGACCATCTCAGTGTATTATATATTCAGGAAAAAAGACCGAAGACGTACCCTGCAGCACCAAATACCCTCTGGAGGTTTATTCTAAAGGATCAATCGATCAAGATGTCGAAAACCTGATAAAGGAGCTAAGCAGCAATTGGCCGGATTTAAGTGATACTAAATTGAAAACTCGTTGCACGGATGTGTTGCTACTCCGGCAAATTATACCGGAGTTTGATTTAGCAGACCCGACCAAGAACTTTTTTCCGGCATTAAAGTCGATTCACTCTTTAGCACTGGATGAATTAGAGAGTCGTTTCAAGGACAATCTCCCATTCAAGATTCTCGCATCTTGCACTGTTGCATTAACGAAGTGTATTTCTACGTTATCACTGCAAGATGCGAGATCTTGTTTGGTGAGTAGAACTGCTAACGTAAGGGAAGCATTAAAAAAAGGTAAATTCGATGACTTCTTGGAGAGCTTGAAGAAGAAGGTAGAAAATAAGTCTTGATATGCTTAATATATTCAAATATATAGACTTTCAAATTTTTAACAATTTTAACAATTTTATTAAGTGAATTTTTAATTTGTGTAAATATTCATAATTTTGACAAATTTGTCTGTTTCTTGTTTGTTTGTTTTTAATGACATTATTTTAAATCATTATCTTTGGTAATGTTCGTTTACTTTCAGTGAAACCTCAATTTTACAGTTTGAACAGTTTATATAACTGGCAGTTCAACTTGGAAATTGTGCTTACAAATTATTGGGGGTATAACTTTTTTTACTGTTTTTACTGTTCTTGTTTAATATGGACATGTTATGGCCTTTTTACCCGAGCCGATCATGTTAACTGTTACTTTGTGATACACGCTTCGTTTCATTTTCTAAATCCAAAACTCGCACTGATTTAGTCATGCTGTGATGTTGCCGGGCGAGAAAATAACTTATACGCTCGATTCCAAAGCATGGCAAAAGCCTTGTATGAACTGGTTATCATGTGTCCTCGAGAATACAGCTCTTTTCTCAGGTGCCGATTATGTCAAAACAACGGAGAATATGTAGCAACAAACAACAAAATGGACACAGGACAAGTAACTGTGCGGTACAAGCCACTCAATCGACTAGTAGGAGACCCTTTCAAGTACAAGTAAGAAGAAACTTTGTTTTAAATTAAAATGGCCTAGATAATAGATAATATAGCAACTCTTATACACAAGACGGGACAATTTTTCCTCCCTTAGCAGCTATACCTATCCATAAATTTTGTCCAATACAACTGGATTTGTTTTACAACTCCTGACGTTTCCGTTATTAGGAATCAGGATATATCAAATGAAACTTCTTGATAAACTTAGTTTAAAAACCATCTTTGTTTACAGTGCAAATATTTCAGGTTTCGGGGGCTTATTTAAGCTAATCAACACATCAGCAAAACCGTGCATCATTCGGGCAATTAAGTTAAGTTGCGAAGTTTTGAGATGTTCAAAATTACTATTTCCTGACTGGTTTCATGTTGGTATGATAACTTTTCATAATATCTTAAACTGTTCATAATGTGTTTGTGACGAGTTATTGTACAATCTTTGCTTCCACGCTAAACTTCAGGATCGATGCCCATGCTTACAAACAATATGAAAAAGGGAGATTGCTACTGGCAAGAGATCATATTGGTCGTTGCTATCGTCTGCAGAGATCTATATATAACTTGTTTGAGCAAAAATTGGTGACTTTACAAACTATAAGTAATAAATCATTTTATGTATTTGTTTTAGAATTTAATTTTTGTTGAAAAATATGGGCGGTGTATAAAGTATTCTTTCGGCGAAGGTTATGTTTTAACGCCTACGTTTCAGGAATTTTGGTCTGGTCTGGTTTGACATCAAATAGTTGCAGTCCTCCCCACAACTATTGGACGAAATATTGGTATGTGATATTCATTTTAGTTTCTAAAGTCGCACCGTCCACATTTTGTTGAATACAATTTCTTAGTGGAAACGTGTCTCCACTCTCCTGGATCGGACTAGGGTGCATTTTGAACGACATCTTCAATATAATACCCAATTTATTAAAAGAACATAGCAAGAAAGAAAGCTCATATTTTTTATAGATAGCTTTAAACAAGAATATTGTTCTACCTGTGGTGTTGAACATTGTCGATCTGTGGCAAAAATTAAATGTAACTGAGAAACAAATGATTGACTAACATGATAAACTACTGGTATGGTCGTTAAAAATGGCGTTTTACATAGAAATATCGCATTCAGCTTGTATCGGCTGCAGCTCACACGTCTCTCCTAAATTGTTGACTCAAAAAAATATGAATTTCAAGAATTTGGTTTCAAAATCAAATTTCTCCTAATATGCAAATGCGTGTGGCACTTTGTGGACAGTTTTAAAATTTAAACAGATGCTAACTATGAAACTTTTTTGGCTCGGAAGGAGCGTCGCCATATGCAGAATTTGTGATACTCTTCGCGCGAAATCAACACGCGGATTTATTGACAATTCCACAGGCGCGCAAATCGGTGCGTATGTAAGTAGCCTCTGAGAGGCTAGTCCACAGCCTCTGAGAGGGTAGTAGTAGCGCCTCAGAGGCAAGTGACTAGCCTCTCAGAGGCAACTGATTTTTAACAGGGTGGGGTTGAAAAAACACTCTTTTATTCCATCAATTCGTTTAGACAATCTATCATCATCATTAATAATGCGGCGTTCACCCAATGTCTGGTCAAATAACATCTAATAAGGTATGCCAATCTATACATAAATGGAAGTGGAACCAAATCGGGTGGGGTCTACTTGCTTGGGAATAAAATACGTTGCCTGACAGCGGAGCAATAATATCTAATGGTTTACCAGATAAAGCATAAAACCGATGGTTTGCAGTTCAAAATAAGATTGAATTTATAGTTGAGATGTTGGCAAATAATTTGTCACAATTCGTTATGTCATGATTTTGTTGACAAATAAAGAAAAAAAAACACCAATAATTTACGTTGGGCACGTGTGAAATTCCACATAACCATCAATGATGAATTATTTGAAGTTCATGAATAATTTACGTTGGGCACGTGTGAAATTCCACATAACCATCAATGATGAATTACTTGAAGTTCATGAATAATTTACGTTGGGCACGTGTGAAATTCCACATAACTATCAATGATGAACTTGAAGTTCATGAGGTGAATTTGAAGGCGATTTTTGCATTACATTTTTGTATTTAGCTCATATTATAATACAATAATACCTGGCTGTTGAGTGCTACGGGCGATATAATGCCCGACACTTTAGCGGAGGGCATTATTTACCAGTGTCCACGACTTTTCGGGGAAATAATTCTCGGAAAATATTATAAATCACAAAATCGTTTATCTTTATTTGACAACGGAGAACATTTCACTTGTCACAATTCAAGTTTTATCGAATCAATTAGAATAACCTAACGCTCGAGTTAAACCACTTCCGATGTCATAAAAAGCTAGAGATTATTCGAAACACTCGTGCGCCTACTCACAATAATTTGCATGCATACAGTGTAGAATAACCTTTTGAACAGCAAGTAAAAGTTAACTAAAACAGTAAAACTTACTCAACGCAACAATCTTATACCGATTTTGCCATTGTGGATAGGTTGCCAATGTGGATTGCGATAACTGATCTCCATACCGCTCTCCTATATTTACTGTAGGCTGTGATGTGATCGGCAGCTTGTTACAGCTAATTGTTAGTGTACGGCTAGTACGATCCTGTCCTCAAATAGTCAATCACGTTATATCTATGCCCTATGGATCAGATCTCAATGGATCAAATCAGCATTAGAGCATTAGGACAGTGGGAGCAACGTCACAAGATTACCCGTAAGCTTGTGAAATACGAATGTGATCCTAAATTACAAATGTGATCCGAAAGTCGGACAGATGTCGCCAAAAACGACTCCTGTCCGAACTCCTGCTAATTCGGCTGGCGGACAGATGTCGCTGTCGGACAGATGTCGCCCAATCATATTAGTTGCCCCCGCTCTAACCAACATTACCTCTACAGTCTAAATTTTGGGGGGAATAAATTTGGTAAACAAAGTGGGGGAATCAAAAACCAACTACAAACCGGAGAAAGGACATACCTATATCTAGTCAAAACTCCAACACTCCCCCTTTTCATCTTCAATCATTGTTGCGGGAATCTGTAACATTGTACTAAAAACTCCATATTATAAACTGAAAAAGGCCCACGGGGCTAAAATGGTACTCCCCCCACATCTGACCCTTTCTTTAAATTTACCACCACAACGGTTTTAAGCGCAGTCACTAACGCTTTTTTTTAAATTTTGTAGATTCAAGAATTAGTTATTATAGTTGAAGTAGGTATACTGTCAATTTTGTATATAAAAATATTTAAAATTTAAAGAGTTTGGGATCTTTTCATTCCACTTTTCCTTTTTTTAATACCACCCCCACAGGATCATATTTTGTATCAACTTAAAAACTGAAACGTTTTAAATTTGGGACAGGGAAAGGGCCCGGGGAAAGGGGAGGGGGGAAGGGGACGGGTTAAAGGGGGACGGGGAAAGGGACGGGGAAAAGGGACTTGGGGGACGGGGTAAGGGAACAGGGTAAAACGGGGTAAGGGCGGGGTTAAGGGGAGGGGTGGGGCCCAGGGAAAGGGGAAACGGGGAAAAAGGGACAGGGTGGGGGGACGGGGAAGGGACGGGAAAGGGACAGGGAAAGGGAAAGGGGTAACCGGGGTAAAGACGGGAAAGGGAAAAGGAAAAGGGACAGGGAAAGGGACGGGGTAAGGGACGGGTAAGGGACGGGGTAAAGGGGACAAAGGACGGGAAAGGGGCCGGGGAAAGGGGCCCGGGGTGGGGACGGGTTAAGGGACAGGGAAAGGGGAAAAAGGGACGGGGAAAGGGGAAAAGGGGAAAATTTTAAGGGGACGGGGTAAACAGGGAAAGGGGACGGGTAAGGGAACGGGGAAAAGACAGGGTAAGGGACGGGTAAGGGACAGGGAAAGGGGACGGGGAAAAGGGACGGGTAAGGGACGGGTAAATCCCGGGTAAAGGGCGGGGGAAAGGGGAAAAGGGAACCGGGGCCCGGGTAACCCGGGGAAACGGGGTTTGGGGAAAACCCAAAAAGGGGCAAAGTTGCACCCACAGGGGGGTTTTTTGAAAGATACTGACAATTACCACAAAAAGGGGGTTCGTGAGGGGGTCAAATAAAAAAGAACTTTTAAAAGGAAAATTAAAAATGAATGACTTATTTGTCTACTTTTTCCACAACGACCAACATTTTTTCCGACAGTTTTGCAGGTTCTTTCAGCTATTTTATTTTTAACTCCCGAAATAATTTTACAAAAATAACCGTATTGGGGGTTTTTGATGGAAAATTTTAATTTTCGACACCCACAGAGGGAAAATTTTGAATTAGAACCCCAGCCTTCCCCAAGGATGGGCAAATACTCACCCACACAATCTTTTGGAAAAATTTTGCTTTTTAAAACCAAGGGGATTTTCAGGAAATTTTTCCCTTTGTAATTTTGGGGGCGTTCTTAAAACAAAAAAAACCCCTTTTTTCCCCAAATTCATGGGAACCAAATTTATATTATCCCAACCCAAGCTACACCAACAAAATTTTTCAATGCTTTTGGCACAAAGGAAACACACAAAGAACAAAAAATCGTCGTAAAAAAAACACCCTTAAACCCTGTAAAAAATTTTAAAATTTAAGTTTTAAAACCCATTTTTTTAATTAACATAAAACCCTTTAAAAAGACGTTAAAAAAGTTTCCCCGGGTTATCAAAATTTTTTGCCATGGTTTTTTGGGTTGTTGAAAAATTGCCGGGGGTAAGGATTCTATATAAGAATATAACAGAGTTCGATATTGCGGGTATTAATAAAATTTCCCTTTTTTAAAAAAAAAAAAAAAAAATTAAAAAAAAAAAAAAAAAAAAAATTTAAAAAAAATAAAAAAAAAAAAAAAAAAAAAAAAAAAAAAAAACCACCCCTTTTACAGGGAAAAAATTTGGGGCCACTTTTTGACCCTTTTTCATTTTTTTTTGGATGGGCCAAAAGTGCCATAAAAACAATTTTATTTTAGTTTTTGGGTTTTAGAGACTGCCATTTTAAATTTTACTTTTCACCCCTTTTTAATTTTTCCTTATTCTACGGGAATTCATTTTGATTTAAAAAGCATGATTTTGGGGCATCCCTTTCCCCAAATCCCAATTTCCTGCCTTCAACTCAAGCTATGTCTAGCTATAAGTGCTCTTTTATCCTTTGATCTCCTGCTCCACAACAATTAAGGCTATATATCTACCTAAATTGTAGCCGTTTTTATCTTTATTGTGACATTTCTTACTTATTTAACAGTCACGACTAATTTCAATAAATGCTAACTAACAAAATTAAGTAAATTAGCAATGAGCATCCACGTTACCTTTTTACACAAAATCCACTGGGATTACAAAAACCATCAAATAAACACACACACTTTTACAATTTACATAGTCTTGCACTCACAAGGGGCCACAAATCAGTTAAGGCCTGATTACTTATTAGACTATTGATATTATCTAAAAAAATTCAAACCATCAATAAAATATGTAAAAATGAGAAAGTAAAAAATTGAAGTGATGATAAAATCAAATCGAATCCGAATTATTTTGTCACAAATTTACGGCTTGATATGAAACTTTTTTCATGTTTGCAATGACGCTGATTTTGCCGTTTCAAATCACAAAAAATATTTTTTTAGATTTGTAAGAAATGTAAACTTTTGACACAATTTCATAGTTCTATTACCCGTTATCTTCAAATTGAAATATTTTTGACCAGGATTTCTACTAGTACTGTTATGCTATGTGTTGAACAATTCTTTAACCCACCTCATAAATCTCGCTGTTCTCTACGGTTCGATTATCCAAGTACTAGGAAACACACCAATGAGCACCGACATCTTTTGAACAATGGACATTTTATTTATAGCCCTCAACTTAGACTCAGAGTCCAGTGCCAGTACAAATGAAACTCTCAATGGCAATTAGAGAGACCTTAATGGGTCAGGTTTTACAAGTTTAACAGCTCATGGATTATACAGAACTTCAAAACGATCCTCAGTCTACCTTAAATTATGCCAGACCCGTGTAGATTTACTCTGCTATTTTTCGTCTACTTCAAAAAGACGCAGCTGATGCCTCATGGTTTATGCAAACATTAAACGCCCTCCCAGCCCCTGCCTAATCGTATTTAAATTTTTCTGCAGGCGAACCTTGACTCCGGGTTTCCCATTGATTCAGCAGGTATGACTCTTATAAAAGGTCACATATAATTGAGATAAATTATAATTTGGAAACCTCAATTACCTCATACGCCTGTAATCTGTATTAATGTGAAATTAAGAAACCCAAATTTACATTATAAATATTTACTACCTACAGAAAGCAAAACATTGTCAATGTTTCTCTTGTTAATCTTACGATTGATCACTTCGTCTTTAAGTGGTGAGTAAGGTTTTAAGGGGGGGGGGGGGGGGGGGGGGGGGGGGGGGGGGGGGGGGGGGGGGGGGGGGGGGGGGGGGGGCTGGGGTGGGGGGGGTTCACCCTAATTTTTTGTAAAACTTGGTTTCGAGATAGCAGTTGACCAACAAACTAGGACCGGTGACCAAACTTTTGAGGGGTCCCCGACCCCAACCGCCGAACGGTGCTCGCGGGGCAGCCACGCCCATATTTGGTTCAAATTAGGCCCAATTTAGCCAAATACCCTGAACATGCCCAAAACCCAGATTTTATGTGCTCTACTTGTAGCTAGTAGTCCCCTGAACAAGTATATGAATTTTCATCAAGATTGGGCAAAAAATGACTGAGTTATGAGCCAAAAACCATATGACCATATTTGGGCATACGCACCAAATTTGATCGATTTTGGCCCATAAATTG